AAAAAAAAAAAAAAAAAGTTTCTAGTAGATTCTGCAATTTTATTTCCATTAACCTTAACTTCAATATTGACATTACAGATATAATGAATTTGGCTTTATGGATATTTCTTTTTATAAAAATCTTAGAAACCCTGTCAGAAATGCAATGGAGGCTTTACTTGATATTACTGGAGTCAGCAATATGTCATCCTTTAAAATTACATTTATTTGTGTGTATGTGCATATACATGCACGCATGTGTGTGTTTGTGTAGCTGTAGAGGTCAAAGGACAAGGCATGGGAGTGGTCTATTCTTCCACCATGCAGGGTCAGGAAACAGAATTCACGTAGTCAGGGTTGGTCACAAGTGCCTTTACACACTGAGCCATCCTGTAGATCTTCTTAGTGCATTTTTAAATTATGCATAATCAAAAGTGTATTCATAATCCATTATTAAGAATTGTTTGCCTATAAATATATTGTGAATTATTTTTCTCTTCAAGAGTTTGTCAGTAGTTCCAGATTTAAACAGGTAATTGGGGATAGTATATTAATTCTACCAGTCAGTCCTCCAAAAGCTGTTTAACAACTGGGTATTTTTCCAAGAATGCTAAGTCATTTTATATAGTATTTATGATTATACTAATACACAACCAAATTTTACATCCATCTTTCAATTGAAAAGAGAAGATCACTCCATCAGATAACTGCGATTTGCAGATATGAATTAGAAGTTTATTTCCCATACATTTTTTTGCTAACATGTATTATCTTTTTTTAAATTTTATAATTTGATTTAATTTTACACATCAGCCACAGATTCCCCCGTCCTCCCGCCCTCCCCCCAGCCCACCCCCCATTCCCATCTCCTCCAGGGCAAGGACTCCCCTGGAGATTCAGCTCAACCTGGTAGATTCAGTCCAGGCAGGTCCAGCCCCTTCCTCCTTCATCCAGGCTGAGCAAAGTGTCCCTGCACAGGCCCCAGGTTCCAAACAGCCAGCTCATGCACTAAGGACAGGTCCCGGTCCCACTGCCTGGGTGGGTGCCTCCCAAACAGTTCAAGCTACTCAACTGTCTCGCTTAACCAGAGGGCCTGATCCAGTTGGGGGCTCCTCAGCTATTGGTTCAGAGTCAGAAAGACAAACATAGTATGTACTCACTCATAGGAGGATACTAGATGTAAAACAAAGGATTACTAGACTGCTATTTCCCATACATTTTATAAATAGCTTTCATTTCCCACTTTTCAAGTATTTTGTTGGTAACGAGGGATTTTTTTCCCAGCACCTCATGCATGCTGAGCATGTACTGAACTACTTAGCTCCACTCACAGCCCTGATGTACAGAGGAAACATGTTAATATAGGTTTGTTTATATACTGGAAACATAATCTTGCCTATACTTTAAAGAAACAAACTAAAGACAGGAAATTGACTTGTATAAGCCATTTGCTTTATTATTCTGTATAGATTCATTTGAGATGATTAATAAGGTTTTTCATTGAACAGTATGGTTTCATTTCTCTAAGAATGCCTTACGGGATGTAGATGAAAATTGTCCCTGAGCAGAACTTTTACCTTCAGGCTTACTATTTTCCTGGTAGCCCTCTCTTGATATGACACTGTATGTAACATAGTTAAACAGTTCTGAGCAAACAGAACTATGAGAGGTCAGTATGGCCACAAGAGGTTTTTAGGAGAGAACGGGAGGGGATAGAAACTACACCAGGACTTGGAAGTTAGACCTAATTGCAGTTCTTACACTGTACTTTCACCCAAATTACCAAATCATCCTAAATCTGTCATTGTAGATGATACAAATAGATACTGTTGTAAACATCTCCAATGAGATGGTCTTTTAACTGAATTAAGAGACACACTTCTGTGTAGTGGTTAACAGTTTGTTGGACTTGACCAATTTGAATTACTCCTGTAAGTCTAGACTGTTTTACAAGGTAGAATTCATGATTTTTTTTTTGCATCTTAATTTCCAGTTCCCCTTTGGTATCACTGGTTTCACAATTTTTTTTGAGAGATAGAATGGGAATGTGTGTGCATGTGTGTACACGTGTACCTATAATTCCCTCAACTGCTGATCTAGGTTCACATTGCATTTGCCTTAGAGCCTGCATGGGCTTTCTAAATGCCGAGTGATTGGTGCCCCTAATATGTTCTTAATAACTGTGCTGCTTGGAAGAATTGTAAATATACACCTGCAAAATGTATGTTTGTTTCTTTTTCCAGATGAACAGAAACCATGTTCCAGATTACACTGAAATAAAATCATTGATGTGAATCCAGTATTCAGTGGTATTGTCAAGTTCACCGGAGCACTTTTAAGGTTCCCAGGAAGACCGCCCATCTGGTTTTCCTTCTACATCTTGGAACACTCCTCTGTCTATTTTACCAACATTGTTTGCTCTGGTTGTTGTACTATTGTATGTGAGCGGACTTAATTCAGCACCTATAGCCTTTTGTTGTGCTTTTCTGATGTGTCTGCCTTCTTCATTAGACTATTACCTTTGAGAGCAACGACTATTTTTCCTTACTCTGCATATTGTGCATCCAAGACACTACTTGAAATATGGTTGGCATCACTGGAGGTCTTTGATTCAATTAATATTTTGTAATCTCTTTGTGGCAAAGCATTTCCCTCCCAATCTGGTGCTAGTAGAGTATCTGCTGTCTCAGCACCATGTGTGTGGCTCATGTGTATTAGGTGTTTCATAAACATTTCAGGACAGTTGAAGATGTTCCAGGACAAGAATTAGTACTCATTTTATGTCATATCATACAATGGCTGGTACGGTTTTAATATTATGCTATCACTGAAGGTAACATTTTATAGAATTAGTCCTTCACGTAACAACTTTAGTGTTTTTGTACTGTTGTTAATTTGCTTAAAATTTTATTCAAAAATATCACTTGCTATAAAGGTAATTGTAAAGACACTACAATGAAAACCTATTATTGTGAGTTTTTATAAAAATAAATTTTAAAATAATATACAAATAATACATTTAATTTTTTTGCAATGCTCTATTTCTTAAATGTCAACATTTCCTTGCAGAAAAATGCTGTTTTTTTTATTTTAAAGATTCAATATTCTGTAATATTGATGGTGAGCATGAAGAATACCTGCTCATCGTGCCATTTCGTTGCCTAAGTGTCTTTTGCCTCTCTCGCTGTTTCTGTTGCCTGTGGTTCTCCTCCCTTGCCTAGCTTCTCAGTACCACATGCTTTCTGCATGTAAAATTGCAAAGGGCTGAGAGCGCTAAATTGGTGTGACGTAGAAAGGCTTCAGGGAGAAAGACTACTGTAAAAGAGGAACCCAAAGGGAAGAATTTAAATGAGGGAGTTTGGGTCAACTCTTTCCAGAGGAATAAGTTTATGATAAGGACAAGGAAATTTTACGGAGTTTTGCCACGAGGTGTGTGATGTCAATACTCTTATTCAGCTCATTCCAAGGGTTCCAAAGAGGTACGAATATGGCAGTTGTGTTTTACTTTTTCACTATAAACGATTATATTGGGAAAGGCTTGAACTCCACTTTAGTGTAAGCACCCTTCCTCATGGTACCAGTGAAATGTATTGTGTCCCCATATCCTACAGACTTTGAAATAAAACCACATCTTATAATTTACTGGAGTTTCTATTCGTGATATGTACTGTGGTTTTGCTTTCTAAAGAAGCGCTTATCTTTTAGAAAACTGTACTGAAAATTGAAAGATATGCTACTGTTATTTGCTTCAATATAATCAGGGTGGTATAAGTTTGTATATAGATGAAACAAGATTGGCTCTGATTTGATAATTGTTGGAGCTGTGTGATAGATGTTTGAGAATTCATTATTCTCTATACTTTTGTATATGTTTGAAATTTTCCATAATAAAAATTGCAAAGATGTATGCCTTAGAGTTTGCTAGTAGGCCACCTCTCTCTTTCAGAGTCTAAATATGGATGGCTGGTCAGAATAATAATTCACAGAAAGATAAAACTTTATTCTAAAAAGCTGGCTCTTCTTCCTGAGCTACATGTGTTGCTAACTACCAGTTTCTTTCCAAGAAGTTTGTTCTTGGAAGACCTCCAGTTAACATGTGCAAAAGGCTCTTAGTTCACCCAGCATGCAGTATGTGAGCAGGACGTAAGTTAAAGTGCAGTCTCCGTTGTTTTTTTTTAAGTATATGTATATGAGGGTTTTGCTTCTATGTATGTGCACTGCATGAGCTCACCAGATCCCCCAAATTGGGGGTAAGGATATTTTGTGAGCTGCCAATTCGGCGCTGGGAACCAAAATCAGGTCCTTTGCAAGAACCACCAGTGCTCTTAACTGCTGAGCCATCTCTCCAGTCCCATAATTCTCTTTGAAAATAACATTTTAATTCATCTTCATAAAATTCTGAAAATGAAAAATGAGTTTAAAAAAATCACACTAATCCCTCTTTCCAGAGATAACCAAGCTTTTAAAAAAGGCAAGTTTCAGTCTTGATTTTTGCATATAATCTAATGTACTATATGATTATATATTACACACACACACACACACACACACACACACACATCTCCACTAGAATATTTACAAAAAGTCCATGATGTTTCTATTTTAATCACATTCCACACTGACACATTGCTCTTCCTTAGAAAGTTTTAGGCTGCTGCTAAGGGCCACTATTAAATTTGTGTTGCTTCTGACATGCACAAATACAGGAAACAAAACATAAAACTTGGGTCTGAACTCTAGATACACTATTGACAAATTCCTGGTGCAAGACAAAGTAAGTCAGTTGTGCTGTGTGTGTGTGTGTGTGTGTGTGTGTGTGTGTGTGTGTGTGTGTCAGTGTTTTAATATCTTCACACACGAAGCTCTGAAGCCACAGGTCTTGAAGTAGTCAGTGAGATGGCATGATAGCTAGTGTCAATCATCAGCTTAGAATTGTATGGGAATTGGGCCTCTTGTCAAGTCTGTGGGGATCTGTATTGATTAGGTCAACTGAGGTAGGAAGACCTGCCCACTGTGTGTGGAAACATTCCTTGATTGAAATTCTGGACTATGCAATTGGCCAAAGCTGAGCAACAGCAAACATCCATTCCTGCCTGGTTCTTGATTTCACACATCATAACCAGCAGCTTCAAGCTCATGCTACCTTGACTTCCCCATTATGATGAGACTAGACTGTTCCATGCTTTTTCACTGGAGCCAGCAGGACCAGCTCCCAAATCATGACACAGAGACTTATAAATTTTGAATGCTCAGCCTAACTTATGCTCTTTGCTGGCTAGCTCTTTTAACTTAAATCAACCTGTTTATCTGCCTTTTGCCTCAGAGCTTATTACCTTCCTTCTGTATAACTTACTTTCACTGCTTCTCTGGCTGGCTGGAGGTGTGTCCCTCATTCTCTCATTCTTCTCTCTCTTTGAGCCTGGACTTCTCCTCCTATGTGTTCTATCTGCCAGCTCCACCTATCCTTTCTCCTATCTAGGTATTGGCTGGTCAGCTCTTTATTAGACCAATCAGGTGCCTTCAGCAGGCAAGGTGAAACAGATGCAACACATCCTTACATCGTTAAACAAATGCAGGATAAACAGTAGTCACACACCTTCACACAGTTAAAGTACTATTCTGCAGCATAAACAAATGTAACACATCTTTGCCCAGTTCAATAATATTTTACAACACTATACCCTTGAACTGAGAACTGAAATAAAACCTTTCTCCCTTGAATTGCTTTTGCTGGGTTATTTTATCATGGTGACAGGAAAAGAAACTAGGACAAAGTAAAGTAATTGCAGCATGTTGTCCCCAAATAGGCCTCACATACATAGCCTTATCTGTTTTCTCTAGCTCCTCCTCTATCTGTGACATCATTGTGTAGCCTCTCACCCTAATGTGGTTGCGATTCTGGACATTGTTTCTAAAGGGTAAACAAGGATCCCTCCTACTTTGGACTAAGGGAAGGGAGCACTGCTTTCTGCCTTTTGCCTTGTTAACCCATCATGTGCCCTCAACCCTTATGTAATTAGTAACCACTCTGGGACTTTCAATAAGATTTTATTGAAGATGGCAAGAATATATGAAGGAAATATAAAAAAACATAGGGAGCTTAGTGAGATGGCTCAGAGAGGAAGACATTTACCACCAAACATGCAACCTTACTTTGATTGCCCCAAATCCACACAGTGGAAGTAGAGAACTTCAAGTTGTCCTCTGACCTCCACACATGAACCATGGCACTTGCAAAAGCATGCAGACAGACAGACAGACAGACAGACACACACACACACACACACACACACACACACACACACACACACACGAGGGGGGAGAGTAAATGAATGTAATACTTTTTTTTTAAAAAAAAAAGAACATATAACATAATTTACATTTAGCATATATAAAATATCCTAGAAGGATAAGTCAGGCCCTTTCAAGACCCAGCCCTGGACTTGTTTAGTAATACAAGCTGAGTCCAAATGGCTTGAAAATAAATTTCTTCAACTGAAGGAGAGTACACAGGGCCTTCATAGGCCTGCACAGGTCTGGGCCAGGTCTTCTGTGTATATATCATGGCTTCCAATTTAGTGTTTTCATGGGACTCCTGAGGATGCAATGAGTGAGTCTCTGGTTCTTATGCCTTTTCTTGGGCTCTATTCCTTCTGTTGGTTTGTCCTGTACAGCTTTGTTGTGACAGTTTCAGTTTATTATATTTTATTTTGTTATATCTTTTAAATGAATGAATGAACTGAACGCATTAATGAATGAAAATCTAGCCACTAGGGTAAAGGTTAACAACTGAACTGTCACTTTTACCTGCTGGGAGAGGGAAAATCAGTTTTCTTCAATGGAGTGAACTAGGTATACCAGCCACTCCAGGGCAGGCCTCATGCTCAGGGGTAGTGGACCAACATATAGTGGACTCCACAGTTCTTGTGTGCTTGTATTTGGTTATAGTTTGATGGGGTTTTGTTTATTGGTTTGTTTTTTTCTTTTGGGGCAGGGTTTTATTGTCTTCATTCTGGGGGTTTCATTGTATTTGGTTTTTGTTTGTTTTTTGAGAAAGCACTTAAAAAGTTGGATGGATAGGGAGGGAAAAAGGATCTGGACTTGGGGGAGGGGAAGAATATGATTAAAATATATTTAAATTCAAAAATGTTTTAATTAATAAAAACTTTTTTCAATATATTATATAATTTTAATTATAATAAACATGTCTGTAAACATGAATCTTAAATAGTCTTATTAAATAAAAAACCTAGAGCCAGATATTGGGGTGAAAGGCTGAAAGACTAGAGAGACAGAACAAGCCACAGCCAACCTCACCTCGCCAATTCCTCAGCTGATCCTGTTTCCTCAGACTGGAAGCCTCTGAGTCCTCACACAAATGGATCTCAGCTGAACTGCTGCTAAAATGCCTAAAAGTTTAAAAGCCTCTAGTTCCTGGTCCTCATGCCTTACATGCCTTTTTGCTTCCTGCCATCACTTCCTGGGATTAAAGGCATGTGTCCTTCCCAAGCAAAGACATGAGATCTCAAGTGCTGGGATTAAAGGTGTGTGCCACCATGCCTGGCTCTGTTTCCAGTGTGGCCTTGAAGTCACAGAGATCCAGATGGATCTCTGCCTCCAGAAAGCTAGGATTAAGAGTGTGTGGCACCACTGTCTGGCCTCTATGTCTAATCTAGTGGCTGTTCTGTTCTCTGACCCCAGATAAGTTTTATTAGGGTACACAATATATTGAGAGACACAATATATCACCACACATCACTACAATGTAAGATTTTAATAGGGCAAACTGGATATAAGGTTCAAGGGACCTCTGTACTGCCTTCATGATTTTTATGTGAATAAAAAAAAAAAACTTGTTTTAAAAAGCAAAGTACAGCTGGGTGGTGGTGGAACATGCCTTTAATTCCAGCACCCAGGAGGCAGAGCCAGACTGATCTCTGTGAGTTTGAGGCCAGCCTGGTCTACGGAGCAACATCCAGGACAGGCACCAAAACTACACAGAGAAACCATGTCTCAAAAAACCAAAAAAAAAAAAAAAAAGCAAAGTACATTTTAAAATTTCCACATCCCTCTAACATCCATCACTACCAAAAATGGTGAGTTCGAAGTTTCACATCACAGGCATGGTGGTTCTCATGGCTATGAAGTGGAGAAACTTGCTCCCTAAACTCATCTCTCTAGAACCTAGGCTATCTCAGATTCATAGCCCCCGAAAAGAATGTACACCTGAAACCAATTAAATGAATCAAAAAGCTAACACTGTGAGTTGAGGATGGAAATCCAGTTAGTTTTACCTTCAAAGCTCATGCTCTTGGATGAAGATCATGGGCAAGACTGACAAAATGGTATGGTGAATTCAGTGTTACTCATATTTCTGAAATGGTAAATATGGTAAACAAAAATTCCATCCTCTGTCTAAGAAGACTATTAAAACACTGCTTCACCAGGTCTACACAGCAATATAAAGAAGCATGCAAGTATTTCTGGGAGTTTGGACTCATTTGAGATCAGTGCTGAGGGGATAGAGGAGGGCTCAGGGCAGAATTGATTAAAAGTAAAATGTTCCCTTTTGTCTGCTCAAACTTAAGCTTTACTTCTTGGGTGCTACAAAGAAAATACGGAAGACTTCAAAAGCCATTCTG